ACGTTGTTTTTCAGATTAACAATTGGACCCTTTGCTTTAATTGAGAGGTTATTTCATCTCAAAACCCTTTTAGCCCATTGTTTGAGAAGGTCATTTTTAGCACACCACTTAAGAATGAGTTTATCCTGTAATTCCCTGCTTTTCAAGCACCCTATAGAACCACCTGGTTAAAAATTCGGACTGCTGGGTCCCACTCCAGATGTTGAGAAAAAGACCAAGGGCAACCCAACACCTTTGATGGACCTCACACCATACTGGGCCAGGATCAAGAGCTGTCATGCCAGATTTTGCTGGCTTGGATCTTGGCTTGCATGCTTTAGAGCTGGGTGGCCTCAGGCAAGCTACTTAAACCTTTGGCCTTTGTTTCCTCGTGTACAAAATAGAGCTAATGATAGTACCTAACTCATCGGATTGTGAGGATTGACTGATTCATATACTGTAATACATATACCATACCAGGGTATGTCAACAAGTTCACAGAAAGATTTGTATTATCTTTCAGTGCTATTTTTCCCTGATCTTGTTGAAGTACACTTGCACACAATATATTTTGTTTATATCATATATTATATATGTAATATATATTGTATGCGTAATAACTTCGTATAGCATACATTATACGAAGTTATACGACGTTTTGCCTGACCTATTGCAGTTGGGTCCTAATTATGTCCATTCATCTACTTGTCTCCTTTCAATCCATTCTTCACACAGGACATTTTTTTAATACGTAATTGTTAAGAACTGAAATTGAATTGTAATTGGAATATTGCTCATAAACATTGCTCAACAACATTGTTTTAAGAATAGAAACAAACTCCTTATCGTGGTCTGTAATATTAGGTTCTGTATGGTCTGGGATCCTGTCTGCTTTTCCAGCCCCATCTCTTTCCACTCTTGTCCTCACTTCCAGTGCTGCAGATGTACTGTATTAACCCTAGTTAATTAAAACTCATCCCACAGGGCAGAACCCATAGATCACTTGGGAGAGTGTGGCGCTGGGAGCACCGAGGCCACAGGTTCAGATCCTGTATAGGGATGACCCGTGCACTCACTGGCTGAGCGCAGTGCGGGTGACACCAAGCCAAGGGTTCCGAACCCCTTACCGGTCACAACACAAACAAAGAAAAGAAAAAACAAAAAAACTCATCCCACAGAAGTTAACTCTATTACTTTTCACTGTGACACCTGGAGTTCACAGGCCCTTTCTATCAAGTTTTCTCTTAAAATATAAACTCGGACTTTCCTACTGGTTGAATTTGATGGCATCCGTTGTGTGGAGACCAAAAATAAACTGTGAAGTGAAAGAATTGAATTTGAACTCTTTCAGTCAATGTATAAGTAATGCTTCCTTAGCATTTGGTACTGGGCCAAGTTTTGTCAGGATGCAGAAGTTCTGGCCATCTCTGGTTTTAAATATTGCACTGTTTTGTTGGGGGAATCTTGCACTGTTTTGTTGCTTTGTATCTGATTTCAAGATGGAGAAACAGGAAGAAGGAAAGTCTAGGTTGTTACCAGGTGGGATTGAATAAGTGGAGTGGCAAAATGCAAAACAGAGAGAAGAGGGGACATGCTGTGTGGGCTGTGATTCCCATTCTCAAGGATTCTTCATTCTCTGCAGGGAGACAAGGCTATCATACACTTTGGCTAATAAAAAATATATCTAATAGGTGGAAAGACTGTCTTCCAGTTGGACAGCGGATGCCTGGGATTCAGTTCATTGCTTTCAAAGTTCCTTTGCAAAAGATAAGCAAAAGTTAATTCAGTATTCTTTCAGAAATCTGAAGTAGCCATGTGGAACACTGGTTCTCAACCCTCTCACCCTCCATTTTCCCTTTTTATAGCCGATACTTTGTAATGCCTCCTTACTGAAATGAAATTCATAGATAGAATATAATCTACTTCCACACATAAATTGAAAGAAAAAAGTCAGTGTAACCCCCTCACTAGAATATAAAAAATAAATTTTTAAAAAGTAATTTGTAACAAAATAATAGTATTTCAACATGTAAATGTTTGAACACGACTGCACTAGAAGACATGAAGAAATAGTTACTTGCACCATGAGTGCAACAACTACAAATGCAGACTGCTCTGGGTGGGTTATATTGACTTAGTACTAGGGGTTTTCATAGTAGTGAACAACTTTCAGTAGACTTGCAAACAAAGCAAAGTACAGTCTTCACTTGGTTGACTAGGTGATTACTATCCTGGAAAATTCTATGCACGTTAAAATTGTGCAGAAACTCCTTTGCGTTTATTTGTGAAATGGAGTTAGGTTCAAGGCTGACATAAATATGAAGTTTTTCTTAACTCCTGTTAATGTTGAGTAGGACAGTCAAAAAGTCATTCTGTATGTGGGACACATTTGTGGGACCGTTCTGAATTTGGCAAGCTGTCTAGCATCTATGACCCTCACCTACTAAATGCCAGTAGGACCCCTTCCCTCCTTTTGTCACAACCACAAAATTGTTCTGCATCAGCAAGATCGATTTGAACATGGAATGATTTGAACATGGAAACTCTGAAGGCTGTGTTTTTGTTTGAACTAGGAAAGGAATAGGTTGGGAAAGCATTTGAAATACATAACTAAAGTGAGAAGAGAAGATGAAGACAAATATTGTCTTCTAGATTCCACATCTTGTTAAAATTGCCCAACATAGCATGGATCAGTATCAGGAAAAACCCATGTTGAGCCTCTTGGGAATTTATTTAGTTTGTGATCCATAGATCAGGCTTCCTTTTTTCACCTGCTGTGTCAACTTTTCTCCATCTCTAGACTTCAGAATTAGTCGTTTTAGAGAGAGAAACACGTGGTTCTCATTTACATCTGCATCCAACAACAGCAAGCATAGTGTTTGACATATAACCAAAACTTAAAAAATCTTTCTTGAATGAATGGATTCCTTACCCACATTTGCAGTTACTGTGAATATTTTCCTATACATCTCCTCTTCTATGCTATTGTCCTAAGTCTTCAAGTTCCTACTCCATGGCCTCTTAAAATTGACTCCTGCGCTTTCAGAAGGGTCCCTGCTCAGACCCTTGCCTGAAAGTCCATCAGCAAGAGGAGAGAAAACAGGGGGACTCTTCACTTTTTTTCTCCCCACAGCCACAAATCATTGCTGCCCGATGTCTTAATTAAAGGCTTCTTCTAGTTCTGTATACATGTTTTTTTCAGTATTGGGATTGTTGAAATTACTATAGAGGCGATTATGAAGATGTATAACTGCTCTCAGTGTAGTTCCTGTACACGTAGTAGAGTTAGGCAGATGAACTATCCGTGTGTGGCAGGGCAATGTGGCATTGGTTTCTTGTGTTTCTTACAGAAGACACCCAAGGAAAAACAGCCTCAATACTTGACAGTCACTTCCCAAGCACACTAGAAGATGAAATAGGATGTCAGTGTCAAATAAATGCTACGGAAAAATACTTAGGAATTCAAAGGAGGGAGAAGTGACTCCAGACAGAGTTAATCAAGGAAGTCCTACCTAAAGGGTTTATGACTTAAATTAGCTATCTAATGTTAATTATTAGTCAAATAGATGGAGATGATAATTGATCCATCAGCTCCATATCTATGCAAGAATCTGCCTGAACAGATGGCGTTGTAAGTAATTTACTGTTCAGAACTTTTACAATATTATGTGGAAGACTCACCATCAAATTGACAAGTCTTCCCAAGTTAATTTATAAATAGAACATGATCTCAATAGGAATTTTCTGAGTTAGGCAGGTTCTAAAACTCATAGAAAAATAAACATAAATGGCCAGGAAAAGTCTGAAAAAGAATAATGGACGTGGAGGGGGGAGTCCTCTAGCCTGACCAGATATTAAACCATATTGAAAGTGTGTTGTTGAAGCACAGGGGATTTTCGGGGCAGTGAAACTACTGTGTGTGATACAAAAAGGAAGGGTGGATACGTGTCATTATAGAAGAGGATACTTCGATAAGATGGTGAAAAAGTTGAATTAAAAGATAATATGAATCCTTCGATGAATTTTTTGAAGACCACCTGTATTGGTCAAAACCCATAGAATATATAAAACGGAGTGAACCATACGCAATATAAACTATGCACTTTGGTTGATAGTGATGTGTCAGAGTTGCTTCATCGATTGTAACAAACGGACCACACTGGGATGCAATGTTCATGGTCCTGGAGGAAAAGTACAGTCTGTCCTTGGGCTGAGTTTTGCTGTGAACCTAACACTGCTCTAAACACTAAAGAATATTAATTTTTAAAAAAAAAGTTATGTTGCTGGCCCTCGAATAGCCAGAGAGATCAATAGAACAGAGTACAAAGTCCAGAAATGAGCCACATATACGAAAGAGTATTTAGCAATAGAAGCCATCCTCCATTCATGTAGACATTTAAGAAATATTTATAAGCACTAGATATGATGGGCAGTCCACTTGGACCTGGAGGTACAGTGGTGAACAAAGTCAGTGTGATTCTTGCCCTCTGGGAATTTACAGTCTGGTTAAGAGACCAACAGGAAATAAGTAAGCATAGAAATAAATTTGTAGAATTGGGCTTATTTTCTTCCTTCTGGTCTTACTGGATGAAAGGATTGTAATATAGCTTCTTCATTCCAGAAGAGTAGAAACTTTCCTTCGAAACCCATTGTATGTTAGCATCACAGGGCTTGAATAAATGTATAATATAACATAGGATTTTAAACACACATTTGCTCTTTCTTATTTCGTTCTCTTTGACAGAGTTTTGAAGAGAAACTTGCTCCAAGAGAACGTTTTTCCCCTTTGGATCGTTTTAACAAAATCCGAGAACAAAATGCAGACCTCGGACTGATAATTCATTTAACATATACTCAACACTATTATAAGCCAGAGGTAAACAGAACTCTTCATTGAAAAGAACTTTCTTCCTTCTAATCCTAAAAATATCCATGGTAATTCAGCAATATTTCAGACGTTATCATCTTGTGCTAATGTTAAGCCCAGACTTCTTTCATGGGTAATAATTTTAATAAGGGAACCAAATGATTTCCTTAATTAAATAATTTAATTGCTGACTTAAATGAGAATGGAGACATGAATTGAGCTATAATGTTTGGCAGTAGGCTGTGGGTGTGCTTAAGAAATTTTATAAGCGTCCACCTTCATTATTTTGAAAATGAAGTAGATTTAGTAAGACTAGTAGTGGCCTGCAAGGAAAGAAAAGAATACCTTGTATGTCTTTAGCACTTATTTTAAGCAGTTGCCTGAGCATGTGTAAGCATCATGGTAAATAAAAAGCACTTGTCCTCTAAGTTTTATGCTTTCTTCTCCTAATATATTTCATATAAGAAGGAAACCTATGTATTCTGCTGGCCCCATGTGGCATATCAGTGGGAAAGAATTACCCTCCTGACCAATTTCATGGCCTTTGGAACAGTAACACCTAATCATTCTTAGCACTTGTATTTGTATAGCAGTTTGCCATTTAAAAAGTACTTTCACATGTATTAATTTAGTTAATCTTCACAATAATCCTATGCTGATGAAATAGCAGCAGTATTCATGTCTCCTATTGGGTACTCATTCTGCACTAAAGTCAGAGGATAGATGATTACAAATAATAAACAGTTTTTGCTGGTTTTGATAAAACTGAGGCTCAAAAAAGGAAGAATTAAAACTTGAATTCATTATCTCTCTTGTCCTTTTTTATTGTGGCAAAATATACAGACCGATATTTATCATTTTAGTCATTCATAAGGGTACCATTCATTAGCATTAAGAACATTCACAATGTTGTGTAACCATCACTACTGTCTATACCCAGGACTTTTTCACCATCCCTAACAAAAGCGCTGTAACCATCAAACAGTCATTCTCCCTTCTCCCTAGGCCCTGGTATCCTCTAGTCTACTTTTGCTCTCTATGAATTTGCCTGTTCTAGGTTCCTCATGGAAGTGCAATCATACGATATTTTCCGTTGTGCATCTAGCATATTTCAGAAGGCGTGGTTCTAAGGTTTATCCAAGTTATGGCATGTATGAAGTATCCCTTTTTATGGATGAATAGTATTCCATTGTGTGCATATAACATATTTTATTTATCCATTCATCTACTGATGGGCACTAGGTTTGTTTCCACCTTTTGGTGACTGTGAATAATGATGCTGTGAACAGTGGTGTACAAATATTTGTTTGAGTCCTTGCTTCCAATGCTTTTAGCTACATAGCTAGGAGTGTAATTGCTAGGTCATATGGTAGTTCTATGTTTGATTTTATGAGAAACTGCCAACCTACCCAGGTTTCGTGAACTGGAAGCATGTACAATTGGCAGACCATCTTTATGAATACAAAATAGAAAATCCAAAGTAGGATTCTTTGGAAGGGGCCTGTGCAAGTGAGGGAAAGACTTTGCTACCTTCCCAATAAATGTGCCTCCTCCCTGGGTTTGTGCTACTTGGAATACACAAACTGGCTGTCTGTTTATTCATTCAACACATACTTATTGAGTACTTACTATGTGGCAGGCTTGTTCTGGACATTTATTATACATGAGCAAACCAAAAAGACCAAGATCTCTGCCTTGTGGAGTTTGCTAAATAGAAAGAAAAAACAAGTATGTAGCTATAGCGTTTAGAGTATCTTAGAAGGTGATAAGAAAACGTGGAGCTGGGTGAGGGGTCAGGGAAAAATGAAATCTGGGTAAGGGAGTAATTAAATCTCCTCCTACATAAAGAGTAATCGAGATACTCTCGATTCTACTTTGCAGCACAGTCGATCACGTTTTATCTTGTTCGAGGGTCTCTCCTTTGGGGTTCACCCCCATCCTCTGTATCAACAGGCGTAGGTGTGGGCAAGCTCACTCCAGGGGCTCCACTAGTAGACTGGGCCATAAGGGAATGAAAATCAATGCAACATTTCTTGAAGGGTGTGGACTGAGAGCACATGAAATACAAGGTGTCTGCAAACTGGGACTAACAGGGTAAGCTTTTAAACGATATGTTAGTTACTTCTTCAGAGAATAGTCTGAGTATGTTTTCAGGTGTAATATCTGTAAATGTAAAGCAATGGGACTGTTTTTAATTTGAAAAAGGTACTCTATTTTCCACATGTTTTCCAGACCTTCTGCGCACCCTTCAGACTTTCTGAAATGTATTTACTACATTGTTTTTCAGATTAACAATTGGATCCTTTGCTTTAATTTAGAGGTTATTTCATCTAAAAACCCTTTAGCCCATTGTTTGAGAAGGTCATTTTTAACACACCACTTAAGAATGAGTTTATCCTGTAATTCCCTGCTTTGCAAGCACCGTATACAACCACTTGGTTAAAAATGCAGACTGCTGGGCCCCACTCCAGATGTTCAGAAAAAGACCACGGGCAACCCAGCACCTTTGATGGATCACACACCATACTGGGCGAAGAGCATGAGCTCTGACGCCAGATTTTGCAGGCTTGAATCCTGGCTTGCATGCTTTAGAGCTGGGTGTCCTCAAGCAAGCTACTTAAACCTTTGGCCTTTGTTTCCTCATGTACAAAATAGGGCTAATGATAGAACCTAACTCATCGGATTGTGAGGATTGACTGATTCATATACTGTAATACATATACCATACCAGGGTATGTCAACAAGTTCACAGAAAGATTTGTATTATCTTTCAGTGCTATCTTTCCCTGATCTTGTTGAAGTACACTTGCACACAATATATTTTGTTTACATCATATATTATATACGTAATGTATATTGTACATATATAATATACATTCATCCTATTGGTCTGTTTCTCTAGAGATCCCTAATACAGGTAGTTCATGTAAAATCCCTTAGCACAGCGGTATTTGCAAATGCTCAATAAGAGTTATGAGGTTGTATTATCATCATCATCACCAGCATCATTTTTACTGAGTTATCAAATTTCAGATCTGAACTACCTCCTAACCCTGCCATGTTATGATTTGTAGCACCGGCACAGGAATATGGAGGGTCTAACTACCTGCAAATGGAGTTCCGTATTACTTTCCTAGGGCTGCTATACCAAAGTGCCACAAACTGCAAAGCTTCAAACAACAGAAATGTGTTGTCTCACAGTTCT